TCTTATGCAATTTGAAAGCTGACAGACTTGCAAGCAAAGATGATGAAGATGAGGTCCAATGTGCAAGCAACCTGAAATATTCTGACTTGAGAATTTTCACTTCTGAAGAGATTTTGTCTTCTTATGATAGGCTGTCAGACAAGAAGAAAGAGCTCAACAAGCAGGATTTTTTGCTCTGGCAAAAGGCTGTTGGGAAAACATACCATCCCCTCATTCTACCACTGGACAAGGGTATCAGGGCAGCAGGGCTTCTGCAACCAGCTGAGCAATTTGCTCATGATTGGATGCATGGCACATGCTCCAATGGCACTTTCAGTGTAGCTGCATATGAGCTTTTCGCTGCTCTACCAGCTGTATCTTGGGAGAACTTTGGCAAATATTTGACCAAATGGCATTTGCCAATTCACTGGTCCATGAACCACTTGCATGAGCTTTTTGATGGGAAGAGAATCAAAAAGTACAAACAACACCAAAGGCTACAGCTCCAAGCATCTGAAGTGTTGGCAATACTACCCATTATGGTTTTCTGGTGCAGAAAAATGCTATTGCCCCTTGGGAAATACAATGATCAGTGCTTGGCTTTTTTAGCCATGGCAGAAGTGATTTTTATTCTGTCTGAAGGGCAAATGTGGGGGCTTGCATCCAAAGAACTCCTGCTGGGAAGTGTGGAGCAAAGTCTGGCATTGGCTGCCAAGTGTGGGTGGCATTTAACACCCAAATTTCATTGGCCTCTACACATGTCAGACCAGCTTGGAAGGTGGGGCAAACTACCCAGCTGCTTTACATGCGAGCGTAAAAACAAGGTTGTCAAGAAGTTTGCTACAGCCATTCACAATACAGTGAGCTTTGAACAATCCCTTTTCCAAGAAATTGTGGCAGAAGAGTTGGCCAAGCTCAAGAACAATGAGCTGTTTCTTCCTGGACCCCACCTGCTGAACCCACACTTGGCATCAAAGAAAACTGCAAAGCTGTTGGCCTCTCACTTGCAATGCCCCATTGAGAGCATTTTGACAAGCAAGGAAGCGAAGCTTCTGCGTGGGAAATGTTCTAAAGGAGATTTGGTGCTCTTGCAGAGCACAGAACCACAAGCAGTTTGGATGTTCTGCCAGTTGAAGAATCAGCCATCCATCTGGGCTTTGGTGCAAATGCTGCAATTGCAGGCAGTGGATGCTTCTACAAATTCAGCAGCTTGGAAAGCTACTTCCTCCAAGCAGTTCATCGGCATCCAAGACATCATGAGCCCTTTGATTTATATCACTCTGCCTTCTGAAGACATTCGTACATTGCTCCCTTGGCATTGGTGTCACAAAAGGATATGAATTCCCATGCTGTGTGACCACATGGTGCCAAGCCAACCTGTTGCACAAAGACTACAACATGCAATGGAAGACTCCAAAATGTGTGCTTGCCTCAACAAATCCTTCATGTAAGCTGCCCACAAGCTCATTTAGCAAGCCACATGCAAGGCTCCAAGGAGGCTCTTTTATTTGATATTTGTGAAATTCAATGTTATTTGTGAAACTCAATGTTTATAGAGTTGCCCAATGATCCACAAGTCCATATATATATATAGAGAGAGAGAGAGGCCAGCCTTGGCAAAGCTCTGCCACAAAAAGCTGTATAGCTTTACAAAGCTCAAGTTATGTCTTTGCTGTGAAACTTGGGTTTTGTTTTTCTGCAGAATTGAAGTGGCAATGGGTGCATGTTTAACAAGTCAATGTGCTGTCATGTTCTGCTTTTGTTTTCATTTATGATGAAACGCACAGTTTGACATTGTCCAACAATAGGACTTTTCTATGCAAATTCAAATGAAAAATATAGAGGTAAATATGCAAAATTTGGAGCTAACTTGTTGGCTAACTCTTTAGCTAACTCCTTAGCTAACCCCTTAGCTAAATTGATTTTGCTAAGCAAGTTAACCCCTTAGCTAATCAAAGCTAATTATGTTAATTTCTAATGTAATTATGTTAAAGGATGCTAAATGTCTAGCAACCCCCAGATCATCCAAGTAGGGGCAGCAGTAGCAGCAGCAGAACGAGGAGGAGGACGAGGTGGAGGAGTAGTAGTAGTTAGTACTAGTACTAGCACTAGTAGTAGGAGTAGTAGTAGTAGTAGTAGTAGTGGTAGTGGTAGTGGTAGTAGTAAGAGTAGTAGGAGTAGGAGGAGCAGCAACAGCAGCAGAAGCAGGAGGAGGAGGAGTATTAGTAGCAGTAGCAGTAGGAGTATAGGAGGAGGAGGAGTAGTAGTAGTAGTGGATTGCTTTCTTGGGCTTGGTTTGGGGCTTTGTTTCTGTAGGATTTCTTTGCGCTTGGCTTGAGGCTTCACTTCTTTCAGGGTTTCTTTGGGCTTCGCTTAGGGCTTCACTTCTTTAGAGTTTCTTTAAGCTTGGCTTGGAGCTTTCTTTTGTGATTAAAGAAGGGGGAGGGGGTTCGGGGGAGGGCGCAGCGCCTACCCCGCAATGCAAACAAAGTATAGACAGCATGTTTCAAAAGCAGCAGCGGCAGCAAAAGGATAAAGTAATGTAGCAGGAGAGCGCAACAGAGGGAGAGAGGGACAGGAAAAAACAAGGAGAGAAGCAGTGAGGAAAGACAAAGAGAGGAATTATATACTTGGGCGTATTTGCAGTTGAGCTTCTTCGGGCCAGAGGTTCCGGGGCCAGGGGGTCAGGGGACTAGAGGACCAGGGGACCAAAGGACCAAGGGACCAAAGGACCAGGACACTAGAGGATGAGAGGACCAGAGGACCAGGGGACCAGAGGACCAAAGGACCAAGGGACCAGGGGACCAAAGCACCAGGGGACCAAACGACCAAAGGACCAGGGGACCGGTCACCAAGCAATCACTTTTTTGATGATTATTTTTAATCTTGACGCTTATCAATTTGTGCTCTTTTATTCTTGATGCTTACTTTTATTCTTGATCCGTATTTTTTAAACCTCTCCCGCTTTCGCTTGAGACTTCCTGCGATCTCTGAAATTCTGAAAACGAGCCACGTGTGCAAAAATCCCACTTCACTGCACCTGCCACGAAGCCAGAGCACACCCACCGCCTTTGGACCACCAAAAAGCGAGGTTTCCCCTGCGCCTGCCACGAAAACTGATCACCAAGCCCGAAAATGTGCACGACAGCACAACGAGAGCGCAGTCTCGAAGAGCACCCGCGCCAGCCCACCAGATTCTGCGAGCCTGCGCAGTCGAAATGCACTTCGAAGATCTCGATGTGAATGAATGCACTATAAATGGCAGCGATTGGCCGCACACGTCGATGAGCACCTCGATCGGACACCCGTCCTCAACAACTACCGTTAGAACCCCTAGTGTTACAGCACTGTTTGGGGAAACATGTCTCACCGCATCTCTTGTCATGTTTAAGGTTTTGGCCCAACTGACCGATTTAATCCGATGTTTAACACCTCACAAAGACAAACCCGGAGCCTGTCTTACATGCTGGAGTACAAGGCACACTGTGTGGCACCTGCCAACAAGAAATTCCATCCATTGGGCGCTTCTGAAGGTGCGCAATATGATCATCAATCTGGGGATATCCGAGGGTGTGGCAACCCCTCCATCAATGATCCCATTGCCTGCAAACACATCAAGTCAGTTTGGATAGTCTGCTTGGCAGAGCAACCGATGCTGTTGATAAATGCCTTTTCGGTTTCCCTAATTTGACGTTGGCAACTAGACTATATATACTACTGACTAGTAACTTAGGACTTGTCGGACATACACGCCAATTCCAAAAGCCTATGTCATCAGGATTGATCCAACATTGGCATTTCCTCTTAAGGCCTATGTCATCAGGCCACAACCATGATATTCATAGAAATATGTATGAGGTATTCAAGGCGCCCGCAAAAACACATAGTCGCACCTTATGTCACCACTGTGTCACCAGGGTGCCAGGCAGTGATATCTAGCATTATTTAGCTGTCTTTTTTTGTCGAGGAGGTGTCCACAGGTCCTATGACACCAGGTTTCCCAACCCAGACTTTTTTTTTGCTCGATATGTCAGGGCACATGACTTAGTCCTGCGGGTAGCCAGATTGGTATGTCACTTGCATCACGTTGGCCTAAGTCATTAGACAGTAGTATAGATATAGATAAAATGTTTGCTCGAGAACAGAGCCGATAGCTCATTCAGGCCGGGGGACAGCTGCTCCACCCATCCGTGGTATTGGCCACCTTGCTCGTCTCACATCACATATCTGTGAATGCCACAGGAGCAACTGTCAGAGGTGGATCCAGTTGTTTGTCACTTCAGGCCAAACGCAAATTCGACCATCTCTCACTTGCTTCATCTGGGGCGCTGACCGCAGGGGGGCACACAAGGAGCTAAGCAGCGCTCGATGCTCCAAGTGCCACGTGTGCAAACCTCAAAAATCTTGGTGTCTCCAAGTGCCACGTGTGCAAATGAGATCTCCAAATCAATCTGTATTCATCATCTGTTGATCGATGTTCTCAGGGGTCTTTGGTCGGCCCTATGTTTTTAAGATAGTGTCGATGTCCAAAGAGTAGGACTAGGCAGCCCTGCTGGGTCTCCAGTCTTGGCATAGCCTGCCTGCACGTTGCTGCAACGGTAAATGTCCAACATCCAACACCGGGAAACACATGGCCGACACTGACACGCAGACCTCTCGCCTGACATCGAATTGAACACGCCGTTCCGCTCACCACGGATCCCTTAATCAATGGATGTTGCCAAAAAGCGGATGTGAAAAGCAATCTTGAGAACCTGACGCATTCGTTCGTGTTGGTGGCATTCTGTACATCTGGGCCACTGGTGCATCCGGCCAAACATTCAGGGCCTTTGACAAGCACCACTCTGCCCGTCTCAAGCTCAGGTGCTGGCATCAGAACAAAAATGTGACACCCCGAGCCCCTAGTAGAGAATCTGGAAGCTTTTCATTATGGTTCATTATGTATCATTATGCGGGGTGTTATTTTCTTTATATAATCTACTCAATTTATCTCCATTTCAATTGTTTGAAGTGAAAGCAAACTAGGCAGGCAGCTGGGAGGGTCCAGTGTTCCATCTCGGCAGCTCACCTCAGGAAAATTGAAAACCGACACCGCTTCCGAGATCCCCGAAAGGCGTTGGTCTATGCGTTTAATTCTTTGCTTGGCCCCATGTTGTTTTCGCCTGTACAGTACAATGCTTCGTTTCTATCTGTTAATAGCACATCTCGGCACCTTTGGAAGAACTAACATCTAGAAAATGGCAGGAATTGTCAGGAGCCCATTGAGACAAACCCCAATTCACACATCTTGGAAACCTGAGCCGCCCGCCGTGGACGTGTCCGGCCTTGAACCACTGGGGCAAACCTTGGTGGCATGGACATGATATGACACGATTGCATCTGGTCTCCCCCTCCACATGGTGTTGGTATTTGTATGATCAAGGATGATCAAGGCTCCAAGTGTGTTACCCCCAAAGTTTGTACCTGTAGAAGGATTCTGTACCCATTCTCTGCGTGTGTGAGCGTGTGAAGTCTTTCCAAACTCCAATGCAAAGGCACGAAAGTCAAGCGTCTTTCCTATTTTCAGTCTGCGGCGGTAAGGGCCACGCCACTTGGCAACTCTCAGCATGAGGCAACAGCGCGTAGGCAGCCTCATTCGTCAACTGGGCTTTCACAACTATCTCGCAGCGCATCTGAATCTGGCGCGGCTTCACCGAGCACTCCCACCCCACAAACTGTTGTGGCATCGCAGCTTTGATAGCAGCGAGGAACCTTGTTTGCAATGGTTTGCCATGCAATGTGAAACTAGCAAACAATGTTCCTAGCTTTCTGTTGCGACCAATCTGCAGCATGGACAAACCTCCCCGAACCTTGCTTGACGCTGCGAATGATGAAGTTGACATCTTTGGGGCTCCAACACCAAAGAGAAATTCACCCGGCAACAGTGCCTGCACAGCTGCATGGAAGCCCAAACCCAATTTCTAGGCGGTTTCGGCCTTGTGAATGAAGAAGCCAAAGTTGCATAAGAGGTAGCCACTTGCCACAGTGTTAGCCTTGGTTTTGCAAGAAACAATGGGATCAGGGTAACGCGAATAGAAGGAATAAATCTGCAGAATGATGGAATCAGTGCTGATTGAGAGATGGTGTTCATACTAAAGATTGACATTCTTGTCAAACCAAGACTATTGTACAATTGCCCCAACGGACGGAAGCCATTACTTTGCCCTTTTTGGAAGAGCTTGACAAGCTCCAGGCTGCACATTGCAAATCGCACACTGCACCGTGAAGCAGGCCAGCGCAGGATTCATGGCCTCACTCACCGTTATGTTCTTCGTTAAAGAAGGAAAGGGAAAAGGACCAGGATTTAAAAAACCAAGGCGATAAAGGTCTAAACTCTAAACAAAACAAATGAAAGAAACAGGACAGCAAAAAGAGCAAAGGCCTAAAGGAAGGGAAAAAAAAACGTTTTGCGTCAGACATGACTGGTCGTCCGAGTTTCCAACTGAGGCCGTTGTTCACCACAGGAGCCGTGGTGCATGACCTGGCAACGAATCATTTACACCCTACAGGCCCTACAGGCACAGCCTTACTACTAGTAACAAGAAGCTACTAGGGGCTCCTGGCATCGCTACTAGGAGCAAGGACGCTACTAGAGGCTCCTGGCCTTACTACTAGGAGCAAGGATGCTTCTAGAAAAAATCATTTACAGGCCCTACAGGCACAGAACAAGTGATGTTGTGACCTTCCTCGGGTCTCACCTGTCCCGTCCCCTGCCTGAAGCATTCGAAGCCTTGCAGCCCCAGGAAATGCGTTGAGAACTGTGGCAAATGTGGTTGCTGAGTGCAACTAATAATATTGATCAATTTTGTGTTTTACGTTATATAGGTTATATATGTATATCAATGTATATCCTATATCCAACATGATTCAATCACAACATCTAAGAGTGATGCTGGCGGGCTGCAGCTCACCATAGACGCAATCCAAGGAATTGAGCCTTGCAAAACCGCTCAAAGTTGGGCCCAGCGATTTGGAGCCCAGCGATTTGGAGCCCCAGCGATTCGGTGGACTCTGCGTCGCACTGCGTGATGCAACTCTCACCGTGTCGGAGGCTTGAGGCCTGCCAGTCTTCAAACATGTGAAGGCACCATAAGACACCCCCCCAGGGCCAGTCTTGGATTCCGACAGACAGGCCGGTGGTTGAAGACCTCAATCACACCATTGAGGTTTGCACGACATTCCTGAGGTTGCCATGTGGCGTGGCGAGGTCGCGGCAAGCAAGCAGGCTCCAGCGCCTGCACAATGCCTTCAGGTGCTGCACAGAACCTGAAGACATGCGAAGATGACGAATCGGCCTTTAGAACTAGACTGAAGCCCCAGGATATTCTGAGCCACAAACACGTCTTCAATGAGGAGAAGGCCTGCCAAGGTTCTACAATCAAGCAAGAATGAACCCAATTTACAATGGATGACTTGCAAGCCAACAACCACGGCAAGAACAGCGCACCTAGCTTCATGGCAAAGGGTCCATCTCCCAATGACAAGCACAAAGAGTACGCGCCTAACACCTCGCCAAAATTTGCATATATACGCAAACACACGCAAACCATGTAGAGAAACATGGTGCAAAATGCCGAGTGTCACATCCTATTTCTCCAGGATTTGAAGTGAACCGTTTTCCTTGAACAATGAGAAAACATGAGAAAACTGCATTTGACAACCGACCTTTTGATAACCCATTCGCTGCCTCATCCGCCGCTGTCACGTTGTTGGCCGTGGGTGCGAACAAGTCGAAGAAAAGCGATGAAAAGTTGGCCACAAGAGTGGCGCTTGGCACCACCTGGACACAATAGTTTCCTTCGTATCCATGAGACAAAAAACAATTACATCACCGTAGGCCCCAAACAGTTTGTGTTTTTCAAAGTCGGAACACTCTGCAACTAGAGCTTGCGACGTCCAGAGCTGGGAGACCAAGGATTGCAAGGCAGAGGCGGCCACAGCAGTCCAGAGCTGGGAGACAAATGTAGACACATGGAGACAAATGCAAAGGATTGCAAGCGACATGCAGCCCAGAGCTGGATGAAAAATAAAGGATTGCAAGGCAGAGGCGGATACAGCAGTCTAGAGCTGGGAGACAAATGCAAAGGCTTGCGAGGACACATGTGAAGGATTGCAAGGCAGAGGCGGATACAGCAGTTTAGAGCTGGGAGACAAATGCAAAGGCTTGCGAGGACAATGTGAAGGATTGCAAGGCAGAGGCGGACACAGCAGCCCAGCACTGGGACACATGTAAAGGATTGCGCAAAGGCGGACACAGCAGCCCAGAGCTGGGAGACAAATGTAAAGGATTGCTGCAAGCGACCCGCAGCCCAGAGCTGGAAAACAAATGTAAAGGATTGCAGGGCAGAGCAGCTGGGAGACAATGTGAAGGGTTGCAAGCGAGAGGGGGAGAGAGGAGGCAAATGTAAAGGAAAGAAGGAAGACAAGGCGGACACAATGACCAACAAGAAGGGGGACAACAAGGGAGACAAGAAGGGAGACAAAAAGAAACAGAAGGGAGACAAGATGGACACAGTGCCCAACAAGAAGGAAGACAAGACCGCAGACAAAGGGAGACAGAAGGGAGACAAGGCGGACACAATGACCAAGAAGAAGGGAGAAAAAAGGAAACAGAAGGAAGACAAGACGGACACAATGATCAAGAAGGGAGACAAGACCGGAGACAAAGAAAGAATGAAGGGAGACAAGGCGGACACAGTGACCTGCATCGCCAGCGGAAAAGAGCGGACAGACCTGGGAGACAAATGAATATACACGCTACATGGCCAACGGAAAAGCGCGGACACCAGCAGCGACAGACCTGGGAGACAAATGAATAGAAACGCTACATGGCCAGCGGACAAGGGCGGACACCACCAGTGACAGACCTGGGAGACAAATGAATAGAAATGTTGCATCATGTTGCATTGCCAGCGGAAAAGGGCAGGACACCAGCAGGACAGACCTGGGGGACAAATGAATATAGAAATGCTACATGGCCAGCGGAAAAGGACGGACACCAGCAGTAGCAGTGACACAAAGGGCGGACACATCTTAAGAAAGAATTGAGAACCCCTAACAGTAAACTGTTTGGGGAAAAGGAAAAGAGGGGACAAGTTCGTATCTGCTGCTGTCATGTGCTGCGGTCTGCAGCTTCTATATTTCCTTCATGTGGTTGTGTGTATGCGTTGTCACTGGATAATGGAAAGCGTCAACGATTACCTTTGGCGGTACCCATCGACTAACGATGAATATTGAGCATTGGCGCCGTGATGCCCGGGATTGACCAGGTTTCGCAAGGCATGTGCGTGGTGCGCATTCACACCTGTGTGCAAGCAAAGCATTGGCTTGACACTTGTGAACAAACACACACACACAAGGGCTCAGACAGGTTGGCTCAAGTTGCCCCAGAGCGAGGCCGGAATGCCAGTGCCTGACAAAACGCAACACAAAGCAGGCCGACAGAGTGTAGGAATTGAGCTGGTCGCATTGGTAGGGTGGAAGGCAACCAGATGAGAGAGAGAGAGATGTTAATAGAAAAGTGATTGTTCTGAAAAGAATAAGAATATTGAAATACAGCAAAGAATTGCGCTTCTGCCATGTATGACAATGTCGTTGGAGCCTTTTAGCTGACAACATCATGAGAAATTGATGCAATTTATAGCTTGAAAATGCTTGAGAGGTGGGCGTTGTCACCTTGTCAGCAAGCTTCGTGTTCAAACCTTGATCCTTTGATGTCGTCCTAAAACACCACGGCCCATCAATCAAGCAGAAGGAGATTCCTTGAAAGAATAAGCAAACAATGTCGCAGTGATTTTCATCAAGAACACTCGCCCGACCGGTTCCTCAGGCTCGCGCATGAGTCCTGCTTCTCCAGCTGCAGGCGATTTTGCAAGCTGAAGCCGTCATCAATGTACCTCACCCCGTCTACTGAGAGGATTGAGGTCCAACACATGGGGGCCTGACGTAAAGGGAAACTCCTTCGAGCTCACTGCAGAAGCATACCCCTGTCGGTGATGCTGACGAGTGGGCGCAAAGGCAGGAAATGATAGAAAGTGCAAATTTGCACATTTGTAAGTACATTGAGTTTGCTAGATTAATATGAATAGCGTTGAGTGAGCGAGCGATCTGCAAACATGAAGTAAGTAAATGATTCAAACTATATAATATAAGACTGATAGATTGGGATCGACCGGATTGAAGACACATCGGTAGGTTTTTTGTTCCCTTTTAAGGGGAGGTAGACCGAGTAGAGGTAGTAGCTAGGGAGTCGCTAAGGTGGCTGGTACCTCCAAGAAAGATAAGCAAACTACTACATATGGACGCAGGATAGCTCACGCACTATTCATGTGTTTCCTAGATGTTTTGGGAAACTTAACTGGTCCTCGCAACCATGATGACTGTCATGCGCTGTACCGCACGGCTCCGCTGGGTTGACCGCATCCAAGGATGATCCAATCAATTTTCAGACTGTCCTATAATCCTGTAGTGTCCTGTAGCATATACAGTAGGCTAGTCTGCAATCATGGGTTTGAGTAGTTAAGTCCACCCGTAGCCCTTCGAGTGTACAAACAATGCAGTGTCCGCGTGTGAAGGGTCTTTTGCGCTGGGCGCACCCAATGATGGTCTCATTGGCCAGCGATATGCTGCACGTGTCATTCAAACGGCAGGTGATGTGCAGCCCACCATTGACCTGCCACAGCCCAAATACTCAGCCCCATGGAACGCTCAATCCTAGCACAAGCATGCTGGTGCTGGCAGGACCATAAACCATCAGCCTCAGTGGGACAGGTTCTGAAGCAGCCTTGGAAGCATCAAGGTCAAGGGTGAAGAATCATGAGGCGGCGACGTTCCAAGAGGGATGCCAGTTGCTGTTGATGTTGCATGCCAACAAAGGACCTCAGAAGCGGCCGGCAACAAGACACTGAGACGTGGAAATCGTGGCTTTCCTCTCCACATTCTCTAAGACTCTAAGTGAAGCTCCAAGCGGTCGCGGTAGGCAGCCAAAGCAGCTCCGATGACCTGTCTCTTTCGTGGAGCTGGCAATTCCCCAAGCTTGCGAGTACAGGTTTGTGGTTGTTCTTGCCAATGTTTAGCAGGAGTCCGACATATGTTGTGCCATTGGTGGAAGTGACCTGAAGTCAGACTCAGTGGCATCAAGGGCTAGTAGCCTTTCCACCACAGTGGGCAAAGGCTGCTGCTGGATTGGAGAACCCGTCGATCATGGCCAACTGCATGGTGCCTCGATCGGGGAAAAAGCATGGGACAAAGCAGCCATGGGCCGAGGCCAGCATCCAAAGTGTCCAATATAATATTACCAATTAAGTTCTCTTCCCGGGCTCGGAACAGAGCCCTCCACTCACAATATGAAAACCAAGTCGCACAGCAAGAAGCGAGAACTCGCAATTGTTTTCTTTCCGTGCGTCTTGGGTACTTAGGTTGGAAGGTTAGCACCTGAACCTACTCGATCTGGTAGCCCACATCAGAAGATCTGAACCGTGTGGTCGAACAACACACCCCGTCTGGTGAACAGAGCGTGCCTTTCCAAACTGCCGTTTGTCACAAAATGCCGCCCGCGGAGCAGAACGGCAGACGGCATCTTCCAACAAAAGGCAGTCTGAATAGACCACCTAGTCCGACAATAATGCACGTCAACTCCGATCGAAGCTGCACGTGCTGGAGCGATCATTCATAAAAATGGAAAGTATAAAGGGCTTAGTACATCATCAGTCGCGGCCACAAGCGCTAGCTGCCGCAGACCTATCTGTTGGCAAAGATCCATCAATGTGCCAAATGGTGGTCGCCAGAGCAAGCGACTTTCAGAGTCCCAAGTGATCGAGATCAAAGCACTGGACACTGACACCCTTCCCCTCAATCCAGGGATCTTAGATGGGGAGTGGTGGGTGGGTTGAACAACTTGAGGATGAGCTCTCTTGAGCCAAAATGGCATTATACGCCATTCGCTAATCCGTGATCACGGATGTATGAAAATCAAAAGCGAGTGTACAAGAACTTTACAATTGACCTGCTTATTCCTGCCTACCAGACCGACAATAAGCTGTCGAGTAAAAACATGGAAGAGCTTTTTTTGCCAGCCACTTCAACTTGGCCTAGTTTCTCTCTCAGGAGCACATCAAAAAAGCCATGAAAAGCCTGCGACTTCCTCGCAAGTCTCAGTGCCCGGCTGTTGCAGTCGAGCTGCCCAATGGTCAGCTGATTCTGGGCCGAAAGGCCCACTCCAGCGACCACCTGTCTAAGGAGAAACACCAAGCGCAAGCATGGTCCCTGGAATTGGAAAGAATAGGGCATAGGGAGGACACCTCGCGATGTATTTGCAAGCTGAGGCTACTGCCAAAGAGCATTCGAACTGCACCCAGCAACTGGCAGAATGATGTATGACTCATGACATCTCCAGCAGCGAAAAGTAAAACAGTTGCTTGAAAACATCAACCATCATAAACCCATGAGAGTATATGGAGCGTGCTCTTTGCCAAACTCAGTTTAAACAAATCGGTATGCAAAGCCAGCCTGAGGTCAATGGATGTGGCCAAAAAGGGCCCATTGACCACCAAAGAGCCGACGTGTGTCACCTGCCATTGTGCACAATGGCTGTGAGGCTGTCTGAGACAATCTGTTTCATGCTTTTCCCATGCTGTTTCCAAACGAGGCCTCTCACGGCCTCTCCGCCTTTTCTGAGCTTCCAACAAATAAGTCCAAGCTTGGTGAAGTCAAAGTGCTTGAGCTCCAGCCTTAATGGAGGGCGAAGCTCCCAAGCAAAAACAAGTTGGTTTGGCACTTTTCTGAGGCTCCCGCAAATTTCATAGCTCCCGGCCTCTGTCTGAGGCATGATTCAAAGTGGCAAACAACATCGCTCCGAACCACGGGGTTCAAAAGAGATTGGATGCAGAATGCAGAACTCGCTTCTGACTAACGAAAGCCTGATTGTTTGGTGCCGAGCAGTGCCATTTATGGCTTCGCCCAGCCCAAAAGATGCACTTTCCCCTGAGGTCAAAAGAAATGGGAAGCTGATCTCAGAAAATGGATCAAAATACACCAAGCACTCCAATGCTCAAGATCATGGATTTGGAGCCTTAAGTCTTGATGTTGGACTTAAAATTACACAAATCACTGAGGGTTCACGCAATCATGATAGTGATCCCAGGCGCATAGTCACAAAAAATATCAAAAATTATGCAAACATCCATTCCTAGCGTCTATTCCTCACGAGGCCTGGAGAGCCATCATACCTGGGCAACACGCACCATTCTCTGCAAACCGAGTCTTCGGGTAGTTCCCCTTCGTGGGTTCCAGGCACTTCGGGTGGCACGTCGCTCTTCTTCCAAACCGTGACTGCTTGGAGGCTCAGACGCCATCTCTGGGGCCTCAAACTTCACGGGATTGGCAAAACCCTGGAAGTCCGCGAGCGTCTCGTTCGACACGTTGCAGGACCCATTGGCAGCAGCGGCCTCGTTGTTCCAAGAGAAGAGTGACCATCCGCCCAAAACAAATGTGCCACATGCCCAGTTGGACATATCCAGCTTTTGGTTAAATAGGTTGAACATTGAACAGGGTTGAAGTAGCACATGCGATCCCGTTGACTGGGCAACGGGCTAGCACCCAACCTCACAACGGCACTCCAGCACCCTTCGTCTGGCAATTTTCACATCAAGTGGGCAATTTTTTTCAAAGGCTGGCGGCTTGAATTGTCCAAGCCAACGCCATTCAAGATCACAAGGCATGGCTCTCCAAGATTGCAAATCACCTGTCAAGGAAACATGTTGAAAGGTCTCAGGTGTCGCAGAAGGGCGGCCTGATGGTTTTGGTAGGGACCAAGAAGCTGAAACTGCCCAAGCTCCTTCAGTCCAGATCCAGAAGTTCTATTTGTCAAAAATATGCGACTTGAAGTACTCAACAACCATGTGGCTTCATTTGCGGTGCAGTATCAATCTCTTGTTATATGTACATATATATATATAGGTTTTTTTCTCGAACCTTTTCTAGATCAGGTGCTCGTCGGCCCTTTTGGCCTGAAACTTGAATATATATAACTATATAATATATATATATATATGTTTGCAACTCCATTTCACATGCGCAAAAAACAGCTGCCACTCCTTTCCATCGTGCCCATACAAGGTAGGCTGAAGTCGCAGGTTGGAGCTTCCGTAGTCGTGACGGCATCGCCACGAAGCTCTGCGTTCAACTGCTTTCAAGGGTAGCCAGAGCTGAAAGTAAAGGAGTCAGCTCATCCACTGCCAGGAGGGCCAGTCCCAGGGGAGGCGGGATCAGGGCCGAGAAAGTTAGCGCCATTCCATTGAAAACATTGAAGGCATGTTTGCAACTCCATTTCACGTGCACAAAAAACAGCTGCCACTCTTTTCCATCGTGCCCATACAAGGTAGGCTGAAGTCGCAGGTTGGAGCTTCCGTAGTCGTGACGGCATCGCCACGAAGCTCTGCGTTCAACTGCTTTCAAGGGTAGCCAGAGCTGAAAGTAAAGGAGTCAGCTCATCCACTCTACAGGCACACGGTCCAGGTCACGTCTTGACCAGTGCAGACTAAAGCCATCTGCGTTTGTCTTTGGCCCTGGAGTTGGAAGTAAAGTGTAGCAGCTTAAAGGTCAGGGCCACATCTTTAATGAATTCTCGTGAGGTAGGTGTCAACAAAGAAAGGGCATTCAACGCAGCAACTTCTTGCAAGTACGACTCAAGGGTGGTTTGACTACGCAGCCTCATCAGCCACAACAGGTCAGCAATGGGTCGCCCATTTTTATAATGCATCACCGCTGCTTCAGGCCACCTGGAGTTAGGTGGGCTTTCTTCGGCGGAGAGAGGTCTTCAAGGAGGAGGTCCCATTTTTTTCGATAGTGGTATGGGCTTTGCGGATAAAGCATCTCTTCACATGGGAGGTGGCCGAAGATCATTGTATGACGGCCGCTGAATCGCTGACCTTCATGTGCTGGACTTTGGCTGCTACTCTCCTCTGCGACTTGAACTTTCTGAGCTGAAGGAAGGCGACGAGCGTCGTCTCACACAAATCTTCAGGTAGCAGAAGGTCGCCGCGTCTGCAAGCTAAAACTTCTCCCAGTCGACCAGCCCCGTAGAAGGACAACAGTGTGACTCCAACCCAGCTGTACCAGCAACAATGCCACGCCATCACACACATGGCTTTGACCAGCACTTCCGGGACAGGTGTCCTGTGAACTACCGGGACTTGAGTCTCCCAGCGGTCAACTATCTCCCAAGCAGCTTGCATATACGGCCGTGCGGCCGGACACCATCTTTGAGCAGCCAACAAAAGATGTCGGAGGTTGAAAATCGATCCTCCTTGCTGAAACATCAAATCTCCATAGCACCTCAAACACTGGGGAAGGGCTGCAGGTAGTTTATTGAACAGCAAAAAGAAATCACGATCTCCGGTTCCGTGGGCACACCAAGTGAAAAACTGTTGAAGCATCCGGCTTTGAATTGCTAAAGTTGCAGCACTGACAGTGTTGACTTCCTCTAAAGAAAAGGTTTGCCTCGTTCTCTTTGGTCGAGGCCCCGGCTTTCGAGCTTCTCCTGCCCGCAAGGTACCTGTCTTTGAGCAGGCGGCGACATTCAAACGATCCTTCTTAGTCCAACCAACTGCAGTGGAGACCGCGGCAGCGAGCATCAAGCGCAATCCTCTAGGATAGGGCTCAGCTATCTGCGTCCAAGGAAGCTTCTTGGCGCTGCAGGTGCCACGCAGCTGAAGATGTCGTTGGGTGCGTTGACACCACATGCGCACTCCAGCCAAAGCAGTGTTTGTCGCTATGCGCGTTGGCTTCTTCCATCGGCAGCCGAACCGGCAAAAGCATAGGCGGAACAAGGTTGAGCTCCGAGAGTCCCTACGCTTCCTCCACCGCCTCTGTCTCCACCACCACGAGGTGTCAGGATTTTCAACCCACCAAGTGACGCCAAGTGACTCGCAAAGTGCTAGCAGATTTGCCAGCCAGTCATTGTGTGAGTTGCCTTGCTTGACTTTGAGCCGCATAGTTTTCCTAAGGCCTGGGATGCCTCTCGGGAACTTCTTGCTTCGGACAGGAGGAGTCACCGCTACAGAGAAACTGGATATAGGTGCAGCTCCAAGGGACAGGACAGCCCCACTACGAAAAAAGCAACTCGATCTTGCCTCTAAGCTCAGGGTCCAGCAGGTCTTCGCTCGGGCACCGCTTCCAATCGAAAGTCAGCACCCAGGGCACGCCCAACTTCACCATTTGTCGAGCTACTCCGCACCTTCCCGAAAAGAGATCCAGCGCTCCAGCTTTCGTGAAATCAGGTTCTCCTTCTTTCACCACAAATTGGCTCTTCTTGAAAGATCTCAAAACATCAAGCGCAGCGTCACCAAAGGGGCAGCAAAAACCTTCCCGACCTGAAGGCGGGACATGAGCAACATGTTTCTCTCGCTGCAAAGGATCACTTCTCACAAGCCTCTGGGGGCGCAAATCGATGGCATCATCGCCACACAGCTCTCCCAGGTCAACTCCAGAAAAATCATCACTCGCTCCATGCCGCCGCAACCATTGTCCCAGCTCAAAATTACTACCTGACTCCACTGCTTGCCACCAATGCGGTTTTGCAATTGTTGCAGCACGGACTTGTTTGCTTCGAGTGGGGTCATCGGCAGGATTGTAAGCCGTGTCATAGTACATGTGCAAGCCATAAATATCCCCGCCTAGAGCAGGTCCTAAGAAGCGACGCATCTCATTGTTCAGCGCCCGGCTGGACGATCGGCCTTTCACCAGAGCTCCTAATGCCACTTGAGAGTCAAGCCCGGAGAGGACTCGAACAGATTGGCGTCTAGAGGCTAGCCTCTTTTCTTCTCGCAGGTAGGCCCGCAACTCCAGGATGTTGACATGAGTGGGTCGATGCACAAACTCCCTCCACAACACCTCATAGTCAAGCGCCCGAGCCATCAAATTCCATAGAGGATGTCCTCTGATGCGCTCACCCGGCACCTCGTCATCACTATCCAAGATGCCATGCGCTCGATCACGAGCTTTGGAGCTGGGGAGCAGCTTCGTCCAAATGCCCTTCTTCAATGCATGTCGAGACACTTCTTTGACCACTGCTGCAGGACAAGCCGCCGCGACCGCTGCCATGCAATCGCTGGAAGCGTCTGTAGCTATCACCTGGTCGAGGTAAGTGGCACGCAGATTCACAACAGCCAGGGATCCAAGCACCACTAGCACTGTAAGTTCAGCAATGATGTCGGGGGAGAGTCTCACTACAGCTTTTTGATCTTCAATGCAAAGAGGCTTAAAAATAACATCCAAGCAGCAAAACATTCTCCTCCGAATGCCATACAATGAAACCCAGGACCCAGCAAGTGCTTCAAGCAACCCAATCGTGGCGAGCCCCAACGAAACAACTCTCATGGTAATGAAGGCGACTGGCCACAGCCGCAAGGAAGAGGATCTGAGCAGGCCTTTGTCGCCGTCAACTTCTAGTCCCCAAAAGCGGGAACAGACTTGCTTCTTGAAGGTCTTGCCAGGGTTGTGGATCAAGCCGGTGCGTCGGTAGGCCGCTTCAGCATTCGCTACCCGTCGGTCAGACTCCAGTTCGCATTCATCTAAGGGGAGTCCACGAAGAACTTGCTCTAAAAAAATCAGGTCGTCAACTATGATTCCAACTTGGAGCAGTCCTCTGGGCAAGGAGCCATGCAGCGTTATCAACTCATCGACAGAAGCCACGCCATGTCGGAGACACAACCCAATATGGCCAGCTTGAGCGAACTCCACAGCCATAGTGTCGCCCATAGCCAGCGTGGACAGTCCAACCCACACCGGATCCTCGTGCCATGAAAAGGCCGGGCCGAAGATTTCCCTTGCTTCTGCCATGCTCACAGGCGAGGCGAGAGCGTTGCGTTCGCATCTCTCTTGGCCAACCTGAATTGGTAGAAAAAATCTTTCAAATCCAGCCCACTGCACACCAGAACTTTATCGTCTTCAAGCAGCAAAAGGCTCAAGGCAAGTCCCGAAGCCATGGTTCTACACCATTTCTGCTGTCCTCTGGTGAGGAGGTTGGCAGGTCGGCCGTCCAATATCACGCGGTCCCTGTGCTGATCTTTCACCACTGCAAAAAGGCCTGAACAGTAGCCGCGATGAAAACTGCCACTGTCAATCGGACGAAGCCTGCCAGAATCAGCTAACTTCTTATACAAGGCAACCTTCTCTGTGCTATTGGCTCGCACTTGCACCAACGGCGGAAGCTCTGAAACATCATCTGGGCGATATCCCCGGGAGATTGGATGCACATATCGCTCGGTCGTGGACGGGTCAAAAAAGGGAACTGGATCGAAAGCAGGTGCAGGCGGGAAGTTCAATATCTTTTGGCTATCAGAGGCTTCGCTGTGACAACCGGGTTTCTGTCTGCCCTTCCCACTATTTGACCTGCACGTAGGAGCTGCGCTTCTTTCGAGCATCCATCTCGACTAGGCTTCATGAAAGAGTAGCCCCCAAACTCACCATGCAAGGCAACAGCGGCTCTGGCCAATGCATCCAGACTGTCTTGAAAATCTTCGACTTTGCCAGCTGCTCGACCCATGTCCGCTGCCGTCACAAATTCTGGGAAATTCCGATCAACTGCGAGGTGCTCAAGCATCCGCACTACTGTCCACTGTTTTGCATTCAGCCTTCTCCCAAGCCGCAAAAATAGCGGTGCCGCAGCAGGACACCCCAATAGCATCCAGTCAAGTGCCGCCACTTGGAGGCATGTCAGGCGTTTCAAATGAGCCCCAGGAACACGGGAACCGGCTGCACGTCTGAATACCTCAGGGTAAGGGAGCGGAAGTGGCCACGTAGAGGCACCTGGCATTGATGTCGCTAGGTCGTCTCTAGCAGGGCTCTGTACGATGGATGCCACAAAACCTTGAAAGCCACTCTTGGTCTTTAGCAGCAATCTCGGCAGTGAATTCAAAAAACCAGGAACAAAAATAGTGGAAGCTCCGGCTCCGGGCAACTTTTCAAAAAGGCTGTCCTCAAGCTCCTCACCAACAAGGCCATCTCGGCCCATCATGCATCCTGGCCCTTCTCGGACCCCGCAGCAGCTTTGGTCTTCGCCTTGGCCTTTGCGCGTCGTTTCGCCTCCCAACTCACGCTCTCCTCTGACTCCTCTTTCCCGGTCTTGCTGGAGTTCTTGCCGATGTTCTTCCTCCTCGTCAAAAATTCCTCTTGATCCCGAAGATGTCCCAGGGTCACCTCTGCCCAGCGAGAATCTAGCAGACGACTGAATGGGCTCTCTCCGTCCTGCACGTTTGGACACTGATGCGTCGCAAGCACTGACATTGGGGGAGTCTGCTCGAGACTGAGCTCTGCCGCAAGGGTCCATGAGCCCTTGTCTATAGCTGCTTGATCCAGCTGTACCAAGGCCAAGCAAGCGCGAGCTCTCGCCAGGGCTGTCTTGCCACCGACCATAGCATCGATGATTCCTGCAAAGGCCCATGCGCAATGCGCCCCAGTCTTGTAGCCATTGATTCGCGAGCGGTGTTCCACCCATGCACGGGCATTGAGCCCCAGGGCGGTTGCCCAGGTCCCAGAGTCTGCGACGACAGGTCCTCGTACATCAGGCGTTCTATGCAAGCATGAATCTCCTCCGGGTGATCGGTCAAGGCCGTCCGGAGTGCCCGTCGTGCTGCTGCAGTCTTCTTGACCGCTCTCACGCTGAAGCCGTCTGATGCAGACGAACCCTGAGCGCTGTCCAGTGCCAAGTCCAGCTTCGAGGCTCCTCTCGCTTTCTTCTTGTCCTCTGCTAAAAAGGAAACAATGCTCGTCAACTTGGAAAGCGTAGCGGCCATGGGATCCGCTGGAACTCCACCAGACTCTGACTCTTCTTCCGCAGCTAATCGCCCTTCGCCTGCATCCTCTTCCTCCTCCGACAGGGGGTCGCCCAAAGCAACACTTGGTCGCTCGTCCACCACTCTCTTCGCCTTGACATTCTGAGTCACCAGCTTTTCCATCATGGCCAAACTGTGAGTAGGTATGCCAGCCTGGAGGGCGGCCTCCACCACACCTGCATCCAGGTGAGGGAAATGAACTTTGGGTTGCGCATTCTTGGGCTTGACCTCCTTGGGGGGTGCAGTCTTGCGCAGAGCAGGCTGACGAGGTGCAGTGGTTTGCTCGCCGCCCGGAATCTTCATCAACAGTTGATTCATCCCTTCTGAAAGGGTCCTCAACGTGACTTCGATGGCATCGACGCGAGCTCCTAAGTCTGCCGACCCAGATCCTCCGTCTCCTGGCATCAACTCCGGATCGATTGCATCTTCGGCCCCGCTCAAACCATCTCCAGCTGAGAAGAACGCAAAATGCTCGTTTGCTGCAGTCACTAGGCTCTCTATCGCCGGGATGGCATAAGTGCCCTCGACTACACCAAATGTAAAGCTGCAGTCCTCGTAATCCGTCAGCGGCTGCAGGTGTGTCAACAACGCCGGCTGAAGATAGCCGACCCAACACTTGATGTGGTAATCGGGCTTCAAAATCATTTTGTCCACAGCATCGGCTGCCAGCACTTCCACCACCACAGCAGGTTTTGAGAGGGCAACGGGTTGCATCTGTCTGCGGCTCACATTTCGGTGCCATGCTGCAAAAGGAACGGCCACAAGAGGTTTGTTTTCAAATTCGGCAATCAACAGCAAGGGGAAGGCTACGTCGCCTTCCTCGAGGTCGTCAAAGTAGAGCTGAACCACAACTTCTTCACTTGCTACAATCCTCCCGTCCACTAGGAGGAAGGGAGGTGGAGCGCTGCCCTCTGCAGGCAGCACCCCTTCCATCACTGATCAAAGCTCACCGGCCACTGCAGCTCCGCTGCTGCAACGGCCACCTTCGCCTCCCTAGCCGAGGGGAAGCCACAAAAAAATGGAATCTCCCACGTCCTCGTATTGCTTCACCCAGCCTTTGCACGATGTCCAAGTCTTAAACACTCGAACAGGGGAATGAACTTGACCGTGATAATCTCGAACAACCACCCAAAGCCGAGATGCAAGAGGGATTCTGTCCCTCCCACTGGATCCACGGTGGCTGCCAGTCAGGCAACGAGTGAAGAACCTGCCGATGCCAGCCGCGATTTCCTCGCGTTGAGCCCAGCTAAGGTCCCGAGCCGATGTAAGATCTGAAGACGAGGGCCCACCTGACTTTCGATGCGAGCAATCGGGCGGGGAACCTGGATAACCACGAAGACCCCCAGGAGATCCGCTCAGATGCGCTTGCCTAGCGCTCACCACTGAGTAGGACTCGTCCGAAAGCCGGTCCTCTTCCCCTCGATCACTCTCTGAGCTGCGCCTACCACGCTGCTCAGCCACCTCTCGCTTCAACCGACCAAAAGCCAGCGACAGCTTGTCAACTGCCTCACGCAGCTCACTGACCTCAGCTTCAAGGTCAGCCAACCGCTTGCCCATCAAAGGAGCTTGTAGAGCTCCTTTCGCCGAACTTGCCCCGATCCAGCAGTGGCCGAGTGAACCCACTCGATGACAGCCCAACGCAGTGTGACCAGCCACTCGATGGAGAAATAAAGAACCAATCCACAAACCAAACCCAGTAGAAACGAACCAGTATGGAAGTTCGAAGATGCAGGGGCTTGGTTGTACAAGGATAGCAGGTCTTTATGGTCCCAATCCAGCAGTTTGAGGGCTATGGCAAGCGACGACCCGGCCGACACTCCTGTGGTCAGTGGCCTATGGCTCATCGACTTGATCCGAGAAAGCTAGCACAATTCCATTGAAAACATTCAAGGCATATATGATTTTATGTGTCTTCAGTGTCTTCCACTTCTCCACAGTTGAGCATCTGGCAATGATGTCCAGCGAGCTCGCGTGGAACTTCCAGCACAACAAGCTCCTTTGAAGGACGTTAACCGTTGATCAAACTGATAATCTGTTTGTGCGAGTGCGCGCACACTGAACTGGCTTTGACAACTCTTGCTCACCTGTAGGCACTAAACTCCCAAATCTCGATACAAGTATTACACACTTTCTGTGAAGGACATTCAATAAAGCTTTATGAAGAGACCATGGGAGCCAGTAGCACAAGCCCCGTGCAACGGATGCGCAAATGACCACGTAGCGCAGCAGACTTGAGGTGCACACTGAGTGGAGACATTCCCGGAGAGACCTCAAGCAAGGGTTCTGAAGGGTTCTGCAATCTTTGTAGCGATACTTCCGAAACATTTGGGATCGCAAGTGTGTTTTCCTGTCAGTGGAAATTTGGAGACTTTTGCCACGTCACACGACAAATGCACAATGAGACACACGGAATATGTTCGAGAGACCGGCAAGTTAAACAGGGCAAATAAGGTTCAGATTCTTCAAGTGCTAGCCCTGTATTCAACAGAAAACGTCATGAATGCATCTGAGCCAGGTGAATATAATTGAGGTTTCAAAGCAAAAGACATCACTGTAACGCTCAAACTATGCTTCCTGGCCAGTCCCGAAGGAATGCGTCACTTGCTCGCCCTGACCTGCCAATGAAGCTAATTAGTCCGGTGATCCAGCGGGAAGTCAATCATCCACCTTCTCCCGTGGTCTTCACCCAAAAGATAACACAACGATCTTTGGTTGAGATTCCTGGAACTCAAAAGGCCTTAGAACATGGAGCGCTGACAAGCGGAAAGCGCCTGTTTGAGTGGGTTCTGTCTGCGGATTGGTGAATCCAATCACCTGCGGTTGCTGGCTCTCCCGGTTCATGACTGGACAAAGGTGCTACTCGGTGATGGCATCAGACCTTATCTATCCTTTTCTGGTGTTCTCTCCTTTGATGGATGATGATTCTCTTGACCTTCGGTCCTCGTGTTTTTTGATGTTGTCGATTGTTCTGACTTTTTCCCCGTATTTCTTGCTGTGTTAAAATGAACGGGATCTAACCTGACAAGACTCCTTGCATCCCATTGGCAGATTCGCTGTTCGCGCTTCCGCTCACTGCTATCCCGAATACCAACCAAAGGATTTGGAAACCTCCGTCAAGTCCTCAAAAGGCCCACCTCCAGATTCAGCTGCTCTTGACAAAGGCTGCCCTCAGTTCCACCCGAGGAAGAGAACGACAGCTGCTTACAATTTTATATCAATGTAAAACTGTAAACCATAGAAACTACAATATGCTCAAACAGTCTTGTCAGGACCATGTCATGTCCACTACAATGGCCCAATTCTATGAACATCAACATTGCTTATATAGTTCCCACATCTGACATGTTGGACTCCAATGTCAATGGACTTCTGGATTCAAAGCCATCGCCACTGGGGCAACTACTGCTGGAGACACCCAAAGAATGCCTCAGAGCGAAAGATCAAACAACCTGGCAACCGCAAGGCGACTGCGGTCGCCCGCCACCCCTTGGCCGAGGAGCCATTGGACAAATTGGTGGGCCAATCTGGGGTTGGAGTCAGCTCCACCGTACAGCTCTGACCTGAGGGAAATCAGTTCTGTGAGTTTTGGCAAAAAACGTTGCAATGAGGCCAGCTCCCAGAGTGCACACGGACTCCTGTCAGTGATTTCCAGGGCATGAGAAACACATACTGGCCAAGTAGTAGCTAGGAGTGTCCATTGATTGGTTCCCCCATGGGGAAATAAACACCGCTTTGATGGAGAAACTCTACCAACGTGTGGAACCCTGTAGCCTTCACACAGGGCAGTATTGGATTGTTTGAATTCTGAGAGGTCAAATGGAAACAAAAATAACACCGAAATTTTAAGTGTGTGTCCGTCCAATCATACCTTCTTCCAACAGTTCCTAACAGAAGAAGTGAAGGCGGCGCTCACTGCTTTGAGTTCATGTCAAACTCTCTTCTGTGAACTACACTGTCGCATTGCTTTGGATGCTCTGCCAAAAGTCCACTCTTACAAAATCTTACAAAGGGGCTGCCAAGTTGTCTTTGTAAACCCCCATATGTGATCGCTGCTACAGCCTTTTCTCCCGGCCTGGAACTGAGGTCCTGCTAAGCAAAGATCCACAGCAGGCACCATCGACAAGACCTGTTCGACTGGCCATCGGTCAACATGAGTCATTGGACGGTTCTGGGTTGTGCTCAGCTTGGATAGTCTATGTTCGCAGGGCCACAGGTGAGAAACATTGTTTGACTAATTTCAAGTATGTTCGCGCACGTTGAGTCTTTGCAACGGCTCTCAATGATGAGCTTTGTGTGAGGCATGTATGCAAGTTGTTTGTAATTTTGTTGTTGTCATTCTTGGGCACGCGCGAAAGAAGCATGTGGATGTGTTCGACCCCCTACGTATGTTTTGCCATGGAAAAATGAGCTGGTGCGTTTTACATGGTAAAAAGTTAAAAGCAGTGTATTCTGAGGGTGTCCGAAATGAGGTCCGAGGTGATTCGCGTGGTTTGCGTCTTTTTTCACAGCGACCACAACGCCTGTTTGAAACATTGGGGCGGTGCACTGAGGACCGTGACAGGGCCTTTTGTTGATTCTATGAACTGCCAACGGGTTGCGATGTTCAGTTGGATCACAAGCAGGGGTAATCAACAAGTTGGCCCGGCGTAACTAGCTTTTGGAGACTGCTGCTACGGGTTCCGGCACATTCCCTCCGGCACACAACGTGAAGCTAGTGCCAATTCGGTCTTATCTTTTGTGTGGAAGTTCGGAAGGTCGATGTGTTTTTAAGCAAAAAAAGCCAGGGGATGTGAGGGGTAAGAAGCTTTAGTGGTTGCCAACGCGCAGTCGCTCAGGCGTCGGGGAGCTTCCTTCAAGAACCCTTCGGGGAAACCCTCGATCCGCAGCGACCCACGGAAGTACGCAGCGACTCCGGGTGTTCTGGCAGAAAATATTGTTCCCATCAAGTAGAGTTGGGATCAACAACACAACAGGTTCGCCAGGATCTGTATGTAGACTGGACTGCGTTTACAGGCTTAGTCATTGAATTCGTCTCAAGCCAGTTGCTTCAACGAGTAGCCAAAAAATTGCGTAAACATTGGCACTGCTTTTCATTCTACAAATCCCACTAGACCCATGGCCTCGGAAGTCACGCTTGTTTCTTCCCAGCCTCTGCAGCATAGGCTGGGAAGGCCTCAGACCACACAGACCACTCACGATTTGTCGGATCAACATCTGTCGACAAGTCTTGACATGGGTCCAAGTGCAAAGTCGCCGTACCTGAATAGTTCAACCTCGCCTGAACGTTGCTGCCGCTTAGTCGCTTGTGCGCAGAAGCTGTATGACTTGGATGACTGAGGACCAGACGAAAAGGGCACCGCTGGGAACCATGGCCACACCGCTGTACTTCTGCTCTCCAGGTAGGGTGAAGCCATCAAGAACCTGCTGCGTTCTTGGACGCAGGTCGGTCTGGTAAAAGGAACTCAACCAGCCCCAAGCCTCCTCGACCACATCCTCAGCGAGAAGCGCAACAAAATCTTCCTTCAAGGATATTTCAAGTGGTTTCCTGCAAGACTTGCGATCCAAAACCAAAGGAACATGGCGGTGGCCGGTATTCAACCAAGCTGCCGCTCCGGTGCTATTGGGGATGACCCGCAAGACGCGCTCGTTGTCATACGGCATCATCTCAGATCATGCACACACAATTTTTGGAGAAATATGCTGCGTCGCTTTCCGCCAAAGAAATGCACAAAAACAATAAAGCCAAGCTGTAAAGACATGACTGCATGACTTCTGATCCTTTGCCAGGCTGCATAGATCGAGTGATCAATCGCCAGGATGCCACCTTGCCTCGGGAAAAGGACGGTCATTGCCACAGCGAGGCTTCACAGACTCAGTCGCGCCCGTGTGGTGTACTGCCACACTGCACTCACGGGCTCATGATCTAACATTTGGATGGTTGTTCTATGAATGCTTTAGCCAGTGCTTCCCTCGAAACACGATTTGCATCCTTCAGAAGTCAAAGCTAGTTACTCCATGCCCCTCATCCCAAAGCCAAGACGGCAGCCATTTGTAAAGGCCGCCGCCCCACACAGGTCCGACCAGGAAGACACCTGATCCGACACACCACTGACAATGGTCGACACGGTCATCGACGTGCATGATGTGCAACATGTTCCAAATCATATTGCCCAGCTTTTCCAGTCATGTCAGTCACACATGGTCGCTGATGCCACCGATGCTTATGAAGCAGCCCGCAGAATGAAGTCCTTACATGAAAAACTCAGAAAAAAAGTCCGAGTCGTACTCTTCTTCCATTCAAATACTTCCTTGCTGTGGCATATTCTGCTCCATCGGCATTTGTCTGGTGTCTTTGGGGCATTCATGTTCTTCGACCCCAGCAATAGTTACGAACCAACCTTCTTGCTGCTTGCAAGCCAGAACGCTGCAATCGTCTTCGCCACGAAGTCAGCCTCCTGTGCGGAAAGAATCTCATCATCACCAGAATGTGGTCCCAGGCCTCCCTCCGGGCCTCTGCCAATTCTTCTTGGTGGAAGGAGACAAATCTAGCAATGGTAAACCTACCAAACCCAAGTGTTTTTTCCAGCAGTTTCTCCCTGAGCCAGAAACTATGATTTTTTGCACGGCCATCCCTCTCCTCGCGACCACCAGCACTGGGAATCACCTTGTGTCCATCACTATGGACAACACTCACAGGATCTTCATACCTCAGGTGGCTTTGGGGCCGGACACGCAGTCCAAACTCCACGACACCGACGTTCATGGCATATAAAGGTCCCAGAATTGTCTCAAACATGATCCCGAACATTTTTTTTCACGTCTCTTCATGCACCTAGTGCTGTGTGCGTGTCTCTCTCTCTCTCTCCTCCCTCTCTCTCTCTACCTCTTTGTGGGACCATCCTAAAACAGTTTGCGATTGCAATTTTCCATAACTGTCCAACCTTCTGAACCCTACTCTATGGTGTAGCCAGGCAGTGTCTTTTGCACTTCTAGGACTCCTTTTGTACCTGCTACTGCTCTTGGGTGTGTGTGTGTGTGTCAAGCCCTGTCTCTAAGGGTCCTCCCCTTCCTTTTTGGTTTTACACTCTCAAGCAGGGGCGTGTGACACTCTTATCCTATCACACAGAACGAACCTGTGGATAAGAGTGGGAAGGGAAACTTGGCCAGTTTCCTGTACCTGCGACGCAACTGTTGATCACGCTGTGACTCCAATCTTTCCTTGTTTGATTCCATGGTCCTTGCATGATAGACCCCAAAACCTTTTCCCACCGCAGACTTGCAGCAGACTTGCAGCCGCGCTGAGTGTCCGATCGTTTTCGAGTGCAATTGAAAACAAGGTTAAACCATACTGTTCTCGATTCTCGCTGACCTTTTCACCTTGCGGTTCTCCACTTCCCTTCCACCTGGGAACTGAGTTAACTGAAAACCAATGTCAGAGTGTGAGCCGCTCAGTCGTCCCACTTGGGTGCTGGGTGTGATCCCCGTCAGTGGGGCGCTGAATTCATGCTGGAAATCGTGTAACGGAATTTTCCCCTTCCACCACTCCTTGGACTCTCTTAACTGATTACTTCTCACTACTGGATTGACTGCCTCAACAGCCGCCGGGCTTGTACGGACAAAAACATTTGATTGCGTGACTATGTGTTTTTGTTTTTGCAGCTCGCTTTGACTTTCAAGCATGTACAGTGTCCCATTTTCCACCACAATCGTTTGTGCAATCTGACATGTTCTACCTAGTTCCCAAACCCCCCCCTGCCGAGTTCTACTCCCTACCTAATTAGGAAATGGTACTCGACACACTTGTGCGTCGGTGCCTTTCCCTCTGTTGTCCCTGCTCTAGTCTACTCTACCCGGGCGGTCTAAGACTAAAGTCCCGCTCCCTAACTATTGCACTTAATTCGTTTCAGCTTTGTAGTCAGTAACTCTAGAGGGCTAAGTATTCAAACGCACACATGTACACACACATGGACATACACCCCCTCCCTGCCCCCCGCTTTCCTTCTTGCGCTTTTCGTCGTTTGTTAGGCTTTCTTTCAGGCTTTTTAGGTGGTTCTCGAGGCTCGTTTCCCAACCCCAGTCAAGGGCTAAGTATTCACCTTCTGCGACTGTACATCCCAAAGAGACACAGCGCCAGAGAGTGCCAGCGTTTTCTGCGGGAAATCACAGCCATCTTGGCAACGTGATCCCATGCGCGCCGAAAACGGCCACGTGTGTGTGTGTGTGTGTCCCACCCTGGACAAAGGGTCTTTCACCACCACTCTTTCCACTTTACACAGGCAGGGGCGTGTGGCACTCCCGCCCTACCACACGCAACGAAGCTGTGGGCGGGAGTGGGAAGCAGGGCCCGATCAGCCCTGCGTACCTGCCGTTCTATCAAGCTGTGACTCCACTCTTCCTTTGGTTTGCTGTCATGGTGGTTCCATGATACTTCCCCAAAACCTCCCCTTTGCCGCGTTTATCTTGCAGCTGAGCCGCGCCGACCGATCGTTCAGCAGACTTGACCAACAACTTGTTGAAACACCTACAAGTCTTTCGGACTCTCCACCATGCAGTTCCATCACCTTTCTTCCCATCGGAGAAATTGAGTTTAACGGAAAACCAGTGTCAAAGTGTGTGTGTCAAGCCCTGTCTCTAAGGGTCCTCCCCTTCCTTTTTGGTTTTTCACTCTCAAGCAGGGGCGTGTGACACTCTTATCCTATCACACGGAACGAAGCTGTGGATAAGAGTGGGAAGGGAAATTTGGCCAGTTTCCTGTACCTGTGACGCAACTGTTGATCACGCTGTGACTCCAATCTTTCCTTGTTTGATTCCATGGTCCTTGCGCGATAGACCCCAAAACCTTTTCTCACCGCAGACTTGCAGCAGACTTGCAGCCGCGCTGAGTGTCCGATCGTTTTCGAGTGCAATTGAAAACAAGGTTAAACCATACTGTTCTCGATTCTCGCTGACCTTTTCACCTTGCGGTTCTCCACTTTCCTTCCACCTGGGAACTGAGTTAACTGAGAACCAATGTCAGAGTGTGTCCCCCTGCTCCAACTTACCTTAAGTTGGGGTCTACTCTACTGGGTGATTCTTATGTCTCGCCCGACAACAGGAGGCAAGGTTCGTCGGCAGACTTGTCTGTCGGCGCTCTTTCCGTTTCTATCCTAATGGAGCGATTCGTCAGTCTCGACCCTAGCTAAACAGGCGGCTTCTGTTTCCCTTTTAGTTTAGCGTGGCTACAAACAGGAGGCTTTGTACCTACTTAGAGCGATTCACTTGTCTCGCTCCATTATGGAACCTACCTCCCTACGCGAGTGCTCATGAGCTTTTGTTAATACTACTGTTGCCGCGGACTCTTTTTTCACCTTTCCGTTCCCTCAGCCAAGGTCTAAGTGCGTGTAAAGGTCTACTTGCAGTAACATTGGAGTGCCGTAACTCACTGATATAGCTCTTGCGAGCATGGATCGAAGTGTGTGCCGCAACAGGGTCCCACTGAGGTCTGTTGTGTGCTCCCAGCTATGGGCGTGTATAGCGCAGACCCTCAAGAGCGCTTCCTCACTGCTCTGCGCGTCTTCTGCTCGAACCTCCACTAACCAGCCGTTTGCTCAAGATTGCAAATCATATGCCGCAGGGCCACCTGATTCCAACACAGAATGTCATGACATGGCGCTAATGTAATCACTTATGCTAAGTAGTCATTGTACAAAGATGCGGCTAAGCGGCTAAGTATTCCCCTTGTTGTTGCTTTCTCTCTTTCTGCTTCGTTTTCGTTTTCTAGGTTTTCGTTCGTTGCTAGAGGCTTTTTGGGTGTCAGGTTAATGTTTAGTCAAGGGTGCGCCGATTTGGGCTTTCTGGCCAGTGCCATTCGGGCCGTGCCTTTCACCCCACCCCACGCGCACCCCGCATCCCTTTCTCTCCTTGCGTTCTTTCGTTTGTTTGGTTTTCTCTCAGGCTTGTTAGGTTACAGTTAGGCTCGTTTAGTAAATGCACTTTTCCCCCGCTGATGACACAAGTGAGAATCCGCCGACCCCGGCCTATAGCCAAAGCCTAGGCGGGGAGGCGCCTGGGACACCGCAGGGTGAAGCAGTTGGCCAAGCCCAGCAGAGCCCTTCCAAGCCCTTCTCGGCAGCCGGTAGGCCTGTTGCGGCCTCTGTGTGGCCTGTCCGAAGCCTGCCTCCTCTCTTCTTATGGGCTTCCAAAGGCGACGTTAGGCACTTTGGACCGCCTTCAAACGGCAGGCCTGTTGCGGCCTCTCTGTGGCCTGTCCGAAGCCTGCCTCCTCTCTGCTTATGGGCTTCCAAAGGCGACGTTAGGCACTTTGGACCGCCTTCAAACCCCTCTCGGCAGCCGGCAGGCCTGTTGCGGCCTCTGTGTGGCCTGTCCGAAGCCAGCCTCCTCTCTTCTTATGGGCTTCCAAAGGCGACGTTAGGCATTTTGGACCGCCTTCAAACGTCTCTCGACAGCCGGCAGGCCTGTTGCGGCCTCTCCTCAGGGAGCGCCGATTTCGGCTAATTGTGTGTGTGTGCGTCCCCCCTGTTCCAAAAAAGACTAAACTCTATACACTTCTGCAGGGGCGTATGACACTCTTATCCTATCACAGGCAATGAAGCTGTGGATTTGGCCGGTTTCCTGTACCGGCATGTAGCGTTGGATGACTTACCCATTCAGTTGGGGTCATAGCTGGGAGCTACGGTGACTGTTCTACTGGGTGATTCTTATGTCTCGCCCGAAATCAGGAGGTAGGGTTCGTCGGCAGACTTGTCTGTCGCTCCATTATGGAACCTACCTCCCTATGCAAGTGCTCATGAGCTTTTTCTGAACAATACTACTGTTGTCGCGAACTCTTTCACCTTTCCGTTCCCTCAGCCAAGGTCTAAGTGCGTGTAAAGGTCTACTTGCAGTAACACTGGAGTGCACTAACTGATATAGCTCTTGCGAGCATGGATCGAAGTGTGTTCCAAACATTGTGATATTCTGTGCGCCATTTGCCTTCACAGGCCGGTTAGGTGTCAAGTCATCAGTCCCTCGCTTTCGTTTCAAGGACCTTCCATGATTGGTGCGTGAGTGTTGGAGCTTGAATTTGAGAAAAACTGGATGTTTAGCGTTTAACCTTTTGATTAATCCTTTGAGCCCTGACCTGTGTTGGACACCTTGGAAGCTTTGGCACCCTGTACTGCAGGCCCCAACACTCACCTAAGTTGACAGCAGGATGGAAAATTCTCTCCCCGATGTATCTATAAACCTTCTCGCTCCATTTCGGAAGGTTTGGCCCACACTCTGGGCCAGTGACTCTCTAAGGTTTGAACAGCTCAAGGAGGGGAAGCACAGGATTCGTATCCTCTTTGCCACTGATGTGGAGGCTTCCTTGGCACGCCCAGTGCATCCTCCGAGGTGACAATTGATAACGTGAATTCCGAATTCCTTGCATGTATGAAGGTTTTTGGGACGATAATGCAGCTGCATTACCACCTCTTGCGAGCCTAACTGGGACAAAAACATGTTTTCCGCTGATTTGGCCATGTGAAAGGTGAAAGGGAAAGGACTGCGAGGCTCTTGATCCCCTTCATAGGGTTCAATCAGTTGCAGCTGATGATTTTGGACAGTTGATGTCAGCCTAAATCCTCTGTGAAGGAAGACTCTTCTGTGCATGGGTGGGGGTTCACTATGGTTCACTTGAATGTGTCGAGTGCGAACAACATCAAGCAACTATATAGAATGATTGGAGTTCTTCTATTGGACTCGATTGACAGCATCTCCACCACAGTAGGCAAGACACTCATGGGGAGCTTTCGATCAAAGAGCTCAGGTCGTTGTTCGACCCAACCCGGGCCTGCACATGTGTTTCAACGGGCGCAGTTTAGAATGGAGAATAGCATGGTCGAAGGATTCTCAAGATGTATAATTACCCATGCGACTCATGCATCTCAAGATGCCGCTCTCTACCCAGTCTCTACCTCAACACACCAGACCACACACTCGATCGCTGTGTGGCTGTCCTGCTGGGCAGCTGTGAATGACAAAGCCAAAAGTCACACCTGCCCCGTCCGTGCTTACTCATCAACTCATCAACCAAACAGTCCAGAAACCGACAATGGAAAATGAGTCGAAACTACCAAAATACACACTCCATCGATCTGTCATACAGTTGCTCATACACCTTCAAAACTGAAAACAGCTTGAACAAAACTTGCTCGGGCACCTTGACCTGCAACGGCTTCCGCTGCCAGGAGACTTGCCATGTTGGCTCCTTGTGAGAAGCCAAAGATGCCATCCAAGGGCTCGTGCTCGCGCAACAAACCTTGGATAAAGTTCAAGGTCTCCTCCCAAGCAAAAAGTCAAGATCAATGTAGGATCACCCAATGTCATGAATCAAGCAACAAAAACCACATATATAAGCGCTCACATAATTCCTCTCCTCCAAATTGTGGTATTTGCCTCAGTTAGATGGCCAAGAGCCTCTTAGCTTTATCTAGCTGCAGCTGAGAAGCTGACTGGAAAACCACAAGCAAAGAAGTCGCCATGCTGCTCAAGAAAAGAATAAACCAACATCATCAAACATCACAACAATAATTCAATATGAATGTTGAATAAAAAGAGATGATGGAAGTTTCAGATCCTAGGCTGAGCGGCGGAGCTTCACATCATTTGGTTCCAACCATTTGGCCCAATCGTAGAGGTCTTGCCCTTTGAACGCTTTGGACATCTCCTGGCTCGACACCAGGAGACGATCGGTTCATTCACGGTTGATATTCCAAATCCAAACCGGCTCAATCGTAGCTGTCGAAATAAAGGACCCTGGCTAGCGGGCTAGTGTTTTCACCAGTGTTGTGTCCGTGTCCAAAGCTTCTTCTCCGAAGCAGCTCACTACAGTAGCGGATCACCACACTTTTCAACGTCAACCCGAGGGCCCAAAGGGTCATTGTCCTTCCACATGACATTGTCTTTCTCGGACTTCATCCTCACAGGTCCATGGGTTTCACACGGTTTCACAATAGTAGCTTGTCAAAATGCTGTTCAAGATTCAAGATGTCTATTCCAGTTATCCCAACCGAATCTTCATCCACTTGAGAGATCATCTTCCTCTGTAGAGTAAAAACGATGGTGGACTCAATTAATCAATAAAGCAATTGAATATGGAGCTTCCTGCCATCCAAGTAGATGAACTCTACCATATCACCACAGAGTTTGGCAGCTCGCTGTAGCTGCACCTGGCGACATCATGGTGTTTCAGTGGTAGCGAAGCATGGTACAGCTTCACTGGCTGGGTGCTCTGCGCCGAAGGTTCGAGTCGGCTCGAGGTTCGAGCAACACGGCTAAGTTTATGTTATATCTCTGAATGAGGGGCTGAACAAATTGTCTGTACTACCATCATTTGTCCAGCTCCAAGTCATAGCAATAGCGGCGGCTTTCATGTGGAGAACACTCATGTACAACGTTATGTGTTTGTATGTTGTGCACGCCTGTTCTTCCAAGTGTGGAACTCAAAGTGAGTCTTCTCTGCAAACATGTGTGTACACGGTCAAATTATGTCAACTTGATCTTGTTATTGGTTGAGGTGAGGTTCCTGTCATTCTTGCGTGTATGTTACATCCAGTAGTCTGTGGAAAGGGGGTGCTCAAGTGGTCAAACGTGCAAAGTGGTCTAGCGCAGATTTAGCATGGGTCTAGCACACTCTGCAGCAAGTGCCACAGGCAACCAAACAGCTTTGATCAAGAGCCTAGGTAATACAACCTAGCACCAGCGCCAAGCGTACCATATCCAATAGAACGCCGGAATTTCCAAGCGGTGGCCAAGCAAACCCTGGGACGCTAGGAATGTTCCTTACTAAAAACACAAGCGTCGGTTCAGTTTCGCATACTACTCACTAGACACTCCACTGACGAGTTGCGCTTGTCCCTCGTGGCCTTCGTGATGTTCCCGTTGCTGCAGGTTCCATGGAGGCAGGCCACCCGAATCGCTCGGCCAAGCACAGGACTTGGTGGGGTCCAAGGTGCCTCAGAGGCATGGCCACTTGTCAGGCCACTTGTCTCAAAGTGGTGACCATCGATTTCACTCGGTTTGGGTATTGGTCCAAATCGTAGCCCTGGTCTGTGCCTATGTTACCATGATTGCTGAAGAAGTTTGTCAGTCTTGAGATTTCTGAGGCCCCTATTACTGAAAACCATTGGCAACACGTTCAACACGGACAAGTAAATCATGGGCTGGTGGGAGCTCGATCCTTTGAGCCTTCAACATCATTTAACACAACAACTATCAGCTATGGAGGTGATCCGTTCGGCGAAACCCGTCGTACTTAGCATCCAAAATGTTCATCAAGGTCCACCAAATCTCTTTTCGGAAACCCTCTTGTTGAACACAACAATGACAATAACTCTTTTGATTCTTTTGCTGAGGTGCGCCGGCATCGTGTGAGCCTGTGCCCAAGCTCACTGGCCCTGTGGCCTACATTCAACAGCTTTCAGCAGGTACATAGTGGATCAAGCATCACAAGCTTGCAACCTCTAGAATCTAGAACTTATCATCAGAACAAAATGGTCAACTCAAGTTTTGCTACCATCAAGTCGAGCTTCAATCTGCCCCTTTACCATCTTCCAAGTCACACTGCTCAGGAATCACAGTATCGTGACGTATCTGATCGTCCAGCTTCTCAATAGCGCTTCTTTCGAAACACTCTGAGCCTCGCTTTCGGCAGTGTCAGCTGGATCTGCAAATGGATCCCAGTCCATCAACGAGGACAAAGCGCGACTTCCCAATCCATGGTGGCTGGAATTGAATTTGACATACAATAAGGAATGACACGAAAAGCTATCCCTTGTTTGAAAAAAGGTTGATAAAGTATGAGTGCTATCCTGGTGTTCATGCTGCTGTCTGTGTCGATGATTGGAGCGCATCATCATGCCTCTATAGCACGCACGATAAGCAAATTGCACCTCCCAACCAACTCATGTTTAGTTTAGGCGGTCTGAGTCTTACTATTGTTTGTCCTAGAGCTTTGAGCCTCCAAAACTATGAACGCGCGGGCATCCCAGTTACGACCAGCTAAAGCAATCCATACAACTGTCCTGCTTTCTCTCAGGTGCAGGCTGCTCAATGCAGGATCAATCAATAGCACCTAGGACGCACTCCGAAGGCCGAGCTTTGCATCAAAATGACAAACACAGCGCCTGTGATGCTCCGTGTGGTACACCGAAGATGCGCCCATCTGGACCGAGGATCGCAGCTGACCTCTTCGATCAACGATCCAAAGAGATACTCAGACTGCTGAAGTTGTTGGCCGGTGCTGCAGCAACAACAACAACTTACTACTACTACTACTACTACAGCAGCAACAACAACTTACTATTACTACTACTACTACTACTACTACTACTACTACTACTACTACTACTA